TGTATTGATTTACTTCATATGAGTTTAGATATGAATGTGAGATGTGAGCTAGATCAGTTGGGATTTACTGGAGTTTATCATTGACTTCTATAAAGATCGATTTTTGATTAATGTGACAAACAATAAGGTATGGATACATAAAATTATGTGTGGGGTTACTACAAAAGGAACCTCAATTACCAACAAAAAATTTTGTTGGTAAATTGATCAAATCTATTGGAAAATTGAGTTATCAACCAAATGCAAACATATATTAATTCGTTGCTAAAAAGCTCGTCGGTAAATATTACAAACCGATTTTAATTTTTTGGTAAACTTACCAACAAAAATTCAGTTGGTAAACACCTAAAGATGTTGTAACAAAATTTTGAAACATGACTTTGAAATTTCCGTTGGTAAATTTACCAATTAATTTTTTGTTAGTATATCATTAATGTCTTTACTAACAAATTTAAAATGAGTTAGTAAATTTTTTCTTCATTATTCGATTCATATATTGGGAAATTGGTTGGTAATTTTAGTATCAAAAAAATTGTATTGGTAGTTCACAAGTAAATTTTGAATACTTTTTAATTTTTATTATTTTTTTTGGTTTCCCATCAAGTGTTTGCTTCCCACATTGGATATTAAAGAGCTCCCTAAAAAAGATGATTATTTACCCAACGGGAATCGAACCTGAGACCTCTTGTTAAGGATGCAGGAGTACTTATAACTTTACCACAACCTTTGTTGGTAATATATTTTAAATACATTAGTATAATTATTTATTTTTCTAATAAATTTACTAATTGATTGTTAGTTTATTTCTAATATATAATTCAAGTTCAATGTTAGGTTAGTAATTGATTGAAAGTATATTCAAAATATTATTGACTAAATTATTATTCAGTAGTAGAATATTTATTACTTTATTACTTTTAAAAATCTAAGAGCACAAATATAAATCAAAAAAGGGATAATGCACAAGTACCCCCTCAACCTATGCCACAAATCTCAGAGACACAGTTATACTATACTAAGGTCCTATTAACCCCCTGAACTTATTTTATTAATAATTTTTTACCCTTTTTCGACCTACGTGGCACTATCTTGTGGGCCCAATGAATGTTGACTTTTTTTTTCAAACTAGTGCCATGTAGGCTAAAAAGGGGTAGAAAATTACTTATAAAATAAGTTCAGGGGGGTAATAGGACCTTAATATAGTATAAGTGTGTCTCTGTGATTTCGGGCATAGGTTGAGGGGGTACTTGTGCGTTATCCCATCAAAAAATATTAATCATTTCATAAATCATATTTGAATGAAATAATGTAAAATCTATGATAACAAGTTAAATTAATCTCAATATGACATATATCATTATATCAAAAAAATTAATTTGAGCATGTTTACCAAAAATATTGACCAAATCTAAATATTTGCCAAAAAATAAAAGTTAAAATGCTTAACAACACAAAATGACAATGGAAGTCTCTGAACCTCAACAACCATTTAGTACATATAAAAATGATATTCAGAAGCTAATTGCGCTGACAAAATTTTCATTCGAGCACGTTTACAAAAAATACCTAGCAAAATCAAATTTTGGCCAAAAGTAAAAAGTTAAATCACCTAAAAGTACAAACTGAATATGAAAACCTCAATATCCAAACAACCCATCCTATAAAATGAAAAATGACCTTTCAGAGCTAATCGCGTTGCCAAAATTCAAATTTCAGCATGTTTCCCAAAAATATTGACCTAATTCAATATTTAGCCAAAAGTTAAAAATAAAACGCCTAACGACACAAACTAAAATAAAAAGTCTCAAAATCCAAACTAACCATCCTATGAGATAAAAACTGAAATTATATGCCGAATTGAGGTGAAAAAAATTTCAATTCAAGCATGATTACCAAAAATATTGAATTAAGTAAAATTTTGGCAAAAACATAAAAGCTAAAATTCCCAACGAGATAAACTAAAAACGGAAGCCTCAAAATCCAAACCTTTTATCTTATTACATCAAAAATGAATTTTCCCATCTAACTACACTGATGAAATTCTTGTCTGGGCACGTTATCAAATATATTTACCAAAGTTAAATTTTTGCCAAAATTTATATGTTAAAACACCTAACGGCACACAGTATAAATGAAAGTCTCAAAACCCAAACCAATCATTCTACTAAATTAAAAATGACCTTTGGAGTTAATTACGCAGACAAAATTATCATCTGAGCATGTTGACCAAAATATTGACCAAAGTCAAATTTTGGCCTAAACATACAATTTAGAATACCTAATGACACAAACAAAAAAAGAAAGCCTCAAAACATGAACCGATCTTGCCGTTAGATTAAAAATGACCTTTTGAAGCTGATGAAATTGACGAAGTTCTAATCTGAGCACGTTTACCAAAAATATTGAACAAAGACAAGTTTTGGTTAAAATTTAAAAGTTGGAACAGCTAATGACACAAACTAAATATGAAAGTCTCAACACTAGATGCTGATTTATAAAAAAAAATAAGTTCAATTGGTAAATTTACCAACCATTAAACTATAAGTTAGTAATTAATAATTTTCCAATAAATTTTATCTGAGTTGGTAATAGTTACTATTAAACTAAATATTCATATATAATATTACCAACTAATAATTAATATATTGGTAAATATTACTAGTGGATTAATGATAGGTGGGTATATTACAAACTAACTTAATGATGTTAGTAATTTACTAACAACAATCTTTATTTGTCGATAAAATTTCCAACTAATTTGATATAGGTTGGCAAGTTTACCAACAAATTAAATTTCGTTATTAGTTTACCAACACATTTATATTTGGTTGTTAAATTTAGCAACACAATCTTGTTGTTGGTAAATGTTTGGTTAGTAATTAATTGGTAATATGTTAATAAATTATATAAATAATTTTTTTTTCATATTTACTAACCAATATATACTTTGTTGGTAATATTGCCAACAAAATGTGTGTGCTAGTAATATTTCTGTTAGTAATACTTTGATAGAATGTTGCTAAATTTGACGGTATTTTTTCCGCCGTATTTACATACCAAAATACTTAGTTAGTAAGATTTATGTTGATAATCAGTCAGAATTTCGTTGTTAACTTTTAAAATATAATTCAATAAGAAATATGTTGATAATTTTTTAGTAGAATACTAATCAACTTATGTTGTTACTAAAATCTGCTGGCAATTTGGATTTTTTTTGTAGTCTGCTCAAATAAGAATAGATGACTTAAGAATGATGTACAAACGTGAGATATACTTCTACATGGTTACTACGAATTTAGGGTTGAATTAATACTACTCTATTGATGGGACTACGTAGAAGGTTATGATGAGTGACATAAATATTTGATGGTGAATAGAGGTTATGAGTTTATAGTATAAACAATAATTTGACTGATAAAGAATTTCCCTAAGTGTTGGCATGAGGTACATGATGGTTTAGACTGGTAGCTAAATCATGGTATGTAGAATTGGTGTGTAATTGACTTTGGGTGTTATTTAATAGTTTTATCACGATGGAAAGGTACTATCAAATTTGAATTTAGTTCTATTAGCCTGTTTGGGACTAGAATTTTCCATTAAATGCATAAATAGAAATAGACATAGCAATAGTTTGAATATGTATTTGATAAGAATGACTTTGGTGGATGTGGGGTTTGATAAACTAAGTATGTGTGCAACCATTATACTGACTAAATTGGTGATAGTGAGTAGCAAAGAAAATCAAGTAAAAAGATTATCTAGAATTATTCGACCTTGGTTATGTACATTCTTATGTGACCAACTAATTCATTTCGGGCGTGGTTTTGGAGTATGATTCCATTTTAATGTTCATGTGTAGTTTTTATTCTATGGGTGACTCCCTAGTAGTTGATTAGGTGTACCGATTCTGTAATTGTCCTCTTGGTAGGGTGAATCCTTGATTAAACTTGTTCATTCCAGTTATGGAAAAGTTGGTGTTGTTTGGGATAGTTGAAGTATACTAGTGATTCAACACGCACAACTTTGCTTATGAAAATTTATAAGAGAGCTATTATGAAAACTTGTAGTTATTTAATACAATTAAGATTTATCTCATCATCAGTATCATGTTTTGGCTATCTATGATTGAATCTAATAACCATTGTGTCTAGTTTTGTCATTCTTAAGGTTTGTATATAATAGCTACTAAATAGTATTTTGACAGCATTATTAGAGGTTTTGTATGCTTGGGTGTATCACTCGATGATGGGTACTTGATCATTACCATCTTTGGATCAGATGATTTTGATTCTCCTTGATTATTACTTGTTGTCTAAATATCATATTTTATAGCTTATGATCGAGAAAATTTTATGTTGTGAGGATGTTATCTTGATAAGATATATGATGATTTGTACATTGTGAGTGTGTGGTGACTCGTTCACGTTGTCTCCTGATTTTAGCCAATATTGATTAAAGATTTTACCATAGTTATGTTAGAAAATGTTTGTCCTGCTGGTTGTGTCAAGGTCTAGTGGAAGTTGAACAGTCCACTTGGGAATAGTTTTGTTGTTAGATGAGTTTACAAACAACAAAACTTAACATTAGAGTATAGAGATAGCCTCATGTGAGATATTATATGAGAGAAGGTGTAGATCTCCAGTTGGTTGCTTTGATACTTTTGAAGATGACACAATGGGTACTTATATTTTGGAATAATCGGTGGGACAACTACCCTTTCATATCCTTGCCTTCTCTTGATCGTTCGAGGACGAACAATGTGTAAATTGGTGTCTAATGTAATGATCCATTTGGTCTTTTTGACTACTAAAGCTTTTTATTTCCTAAAATACTTTCCGATAGATTCTAAATAGTATTTTGGATTATTTTTTATTACAATTATGAAACTAGTGGGTAGTTTTTATAATTTATTGACTTGGTGGTTCAAGAAAATAATATTAAAATTAGTAGGGGGTCACTTTTTACCATATTTATGATTAGTCATATAATAAGTAGGGTTATTTTTTTTTGTGAATACATAAATCGTTCAAGACTCTTGTTTTTAGTTCTCGGCGCCATGGATAAAGACCAACAGAAAAGAGGTAAAAACCTCATGCCATTCTCAATTTTAGTTTATAAACAATGAATACTTTTGTGTGTATTAATTCTTGTTAATACTATTTAATTTTATTGGAAAGTGATGAAGTTTTGTAATCATTGAATTGTCTTTGCTACCATATAATTGAAAATTGTTAAAATAGGACACATCCTTAAGCGCTCAGCTATTAGTGCTCAGGTGAACATAATTGTGGCGTCAATTCTTATTGGTTGAAGGAGAAATTAGTAAGTGTTAAATTGGGATTGTATAGGCGTGACTATTAGTGGACAGCAACTGCTGTATAGTAATTGAGTGGGATTACTACTACCTCGTCTGCCACTGGTTCGTAACAAGTGGCTTCCATTTTTTTTAAAATTAAAATTATGTTTTTACATTAAAATTATATTTTTGGTATGTTGAGATGGGTCGTTAAATATTAGGTTCATCATATTGTTAAAATTCTATTAAAATAATGTTAACTGGAGGAATTAAGACTTGCTCTTAGGTTTGAATTTTAGGAAATTGATTATAATATTAGGTGAATTTTCTGTCTAGGCTAGACATAGAATAATATGAGTGTTTATAACCCTTTAACTTACAAATATTGTATACTTGATATATATTGAAAACGTTTCGACACATTGAGGAAAGGAAAATCATTATTGTTTAGCTCGCTTGATTTTGGTTCTTCAGTGGAGATAGGTTATGGTTTATTTGTAATTGATAGATAAACTCTCAATAGTGATTGATAAGTATTGAGTGATATTGTGAAGTTTTTTTATGTACTTGGTTATGTGATTCTGTCGCTTGGTTGCGTGACTTGTGATTGGTCTGAAATCATGAGACCATAGAATTTATATTCTTGAATCCTCTCTATTGGAGTAATATCTTAAATAAAGAAGATCTAGTGAAATATTGTCAATGAATCCAAAAGAAGTGTTATGTTCTGACACAATATTTTTGGATTGGAGTGTCACGTTTTGATATGACATCGTGGATCAGAGTGTCACGTTCTGACACAGTATAATTGGATCGAAGTGTCACGTTTCGACATGGGATAAGTTGATCGGAGTGTCACGTTACGACGCAATATTCTTTGATAAGAGTGTCATATTCCAACACGGCAATATTAAAAGAAAAGGATATTGAATTAACTTATGGTACTTAATCTCAAAGAACACATTTCCCAAATGAGCATGGCGTAGAGGCATGACTCCTCATGGGTCTGTTTTATATTGTGACTGATTACATAGTCACTTGTTCATGTTGTTTGTTTCTTAGTACCTGCTTAATGTTACAGTTGAGTTTATACTATTTATTCATCGTATATTAGTTTCTATTTTTAGTTGGCCGATGATACCTATTCAGTACATTTTGCGTCGTATTGAGCCTTAATTGTATTTTCTTTTGTTTTCCTTTTATAAAGTGCAGCAAGTGTACCTGCTAATTTGACTCGCCCTCAGCTCTAGCAAGTCTCAACATATCATGTTCGAGGGTGAGATATTCATTCAAGCTCTTGTTGGATTCTCTCGGTCATGACATGTTGTCCTATGTTTTCAAACACATGCCATTTTTCTCTTTTATTTTTGTATATTTGATATTCTTAGACTTAGTATATGGAGATTAGATGTCCTTAATGTGCTGACTTTCAGGTTTTGGGAAATGATACTTTAATAAGTTTTGGAGCTTCCGCATTATTTAGTTATTCGTAGTTAAATTATTTGTCATGACCCAAAAAAGAGTGTGATGGCACTCGTCTTATCCCACCAAGACAAGTCTCCAAATCATTCTCAACATTACACAAGGAAATACACGAATTTCATACGCTTAACTATAGTTTAGAAATTCACTTGACTTAGCCAATCGAATAATTACTATTGGACTTGAGCCTTCCCTTTTCATTGAGCTTCCAAACCAATGGAATCTATTCAAGTATATATTCATAATAAGGTTTCAAAACTAACAACACTCACACTTTTATGTGTTTAACCTTGACCTAAAAATTCACCCCAAATTTATAATCAAGTTTGCAATTCTTGATGTCAATTAACATTTCAACTATCATATTTTTCAAGTTTCAAGGCTAAGGTTAAATCTCATATTTTTCTCAATATCATAATTTGAATGATATTCATATGATATGATAGATGTAATATTTAATTACCTATTTCAATATGCCAAAACTTAAATTATAATGTAATAATAATAATAAGATATTAATTAAATTGCCAATCGTTCACAGAAAAACACAGCTTCCGAACCTTACAATTCATACGCAGAATATACCCCTCCAAATTATTTATACACATGTATAACAATCATTACACTTTGATTATTTTATAATTATTATTTTTTTCAAAATTGGTCAAAAATTTCCCAGGAACCCACGTAGAAAAATTATAAGGCCAAACTATTTTTTTATTTTTGCCATTTATGGCAAGTATTTTGTCTCTTTCTCCTTCCCCACAATACATATACTATATAATATTAACAATAAAAAACAATACAACCAAAACGATGCTTACAGTGAAAGAAACGTTTGATCACTTACCGATTTTGCATGATTTCGGTTAGTTCTCGCTTTTTTTTCAATAGCCGCACATCCTCTTTTCTTAATTTTTTTTCTAGTTGTGATTTATACATTAAACCCCAAATAATTTAACTCACTTCAACCCACTAAGCATTAACTAAAGTTAGTTATTTAATAATTAACTATCAATTTTATTCATTCTAGTTAAATGAATATTTCAAATTTTCAAAAATGACCTTCCGGGTCATTATATTATCCACCACTAAGAATAATGTTCGTCCTCGAACATAAAGTAATAGAAAGTACATGAAGCTTCAAAAAGTTGAGGATATCTGGCACGCATGTCAGATTCAGTCTCCCAAGTTGCCTCTCCCGCTGATTGGTGCTTCCATTGCACCTTCGCTGAAGCAATCTCGTTGGTCCTAAGCTTTCAAATTTGCCTATCCGAAATATCTATAGGGTCGTCCTCAAATGCCAAGTCTTGACCAAACTCTGCTGAGTCAAGTGAAAGCACATGAGATTCATCAAGAATATACTTCCGAAGAATAGAGACATGGAAAACAGGATGAACTGCCGACAAACTAGGTGGCAAGGCAAACTTATAGGCCACCTCTCCCACTTGGATCTAAATCTCAAAAGGTCCAATGAATCTAGGGCTTAGATTGCCCTTCTTTCCGAACCTCATCACACCCTTCATGGGTGATACTTGGAGCCCAACATGATCACCCTCCATAAACACTACTACCTTCAAATTTTGACCTGGACCCTTCTATTGCAATTATAAGCTTCTTCCCTGGTGGCAGCGATACATTGGCGAACCATGTGAAGCTTCTATTTCGTTTTTTATTATTATTTTTGACCTCTGCATAACTCTTCTGTTGACTCTGGGCTGTCAACAGTCTATACTGAATCGTACAGACTTTCTCCATAGCATCTTTAAGCAAGTTTGTATCCAAAGAGTCCATCTCTACCGAATCAAACCAACCAATCAGAGGTCTACACCGTCTACCATACAAAGCCTCAAATGGGGCCATCTGGATACTAGAGTGATAATTGTTATTGTATGCGAACTCTGCTAAGGGTAAATGTCAATCCCATCTAGCACCGAACTCAATTACACATGTTCGAGGCATATCTTCCAACACCTGAATCGTCCGCTCAGACTGACCATCTGTCTGAGGGTGAAAGTTTGTACTCATATCTAACTCACTACCCAGACCATGTTGTAATGCCTTCAAGAAGTGGAGAAGTAAATAGTGAACCTCGATCTGATATGATTGAAACAGGAACTCTATGTAGTCGCACAATCAGACTAGTATATAGCTCGGCTAACTTCTCTTCCGTATACTTCACCCGAATCGGAATGAAGTGGGCAGACATGGTTAGCCTATGAACAATAACCCAAATAGATTCATAACAACCCACTGTGGTAGGCAAACCCACAACAAAAGTCCATAGTAACCCGTTACCACTTCCTAGTAGGAATATGTATCCTCTGAGATACACTTCCTAGCCGCTGGTGCTCACACTTGACCTGCTGGCAAGTCAAGCACATTGAAACAAAGTTCGTTATATCTATCCATCCCACACCACCAGTAATGCTGACTCAGATCATGATACATCTTCGCCGCTCCCGGATGGATGGAATACCGAGAACAGTGGCCTCCTAAAGGATCAATCTAAACAAATCGCCTTTCTTGGGCACACAAATCCTGCCTCCGATCCTCAAGAAACCATTAGAATCAATTAGAACCTCCTTAGCTTCCCCTCTCAATACTTTGTCTCGAATGAGACATCACTTTTCATCATTAAACTGGTGTGCACGGATCTGCTCGACTAAAGAAGATTGAGCCTCAATAAAATCAATCATCCCATCACTCTCCTCTGAGATCTGCAATCGGACATTAATGTTAGCTAATCTCTTTGCATCTCTAGCCAATGGTCTCTCCTCAATACTAAGCGCTGCAAGACTCCCCATTCTAGGAGTCTTTCTATTCAGGGCATCGTCCACAACATTGGCCTTTCCTTTATTATATAGAATGGTCACATCATAAGCCTTCATCAACTCAAGCCATGTCTCTTGCCTCAAGTTCAAATCCCTCTGGCTAAAGGTATATTGAAGACTCCAATGATCAGTCAAGATCTCACAATGCACCCCATACAAATAATGACACCATAACTTTAGTACAAATACCACAGCTGCCAACTAAAAATCAAGAGTAGGGTAGTTCTTCTCATGGGATGTCAACTGCCTAGAAGCATAAGCAATAACTTTGCCCTTCTGCATCAACACACCACTAAAACCAACTCTTGAAGCATCACAATACACAGTAAAGTCTAAACCCTCCTCAGGTAGAGCAAACAGAGGAGCTGAAGTCAACAAAGTCTTGAGTTTTTGAAAGCTCTGCTCACACTCAGCAGACCACTGAAAACGCACATCCTGTCGAGTCAATCTAGTTAATGGAGCTGCAATAAAACTCTGAACAAATCATCGATAATAGCCTGCCAATCCCATAAAACTCTGAATCTGAGTAGGTGAAGTAGGTCACTTCCAGCCTCTAACTGCCTCAATTTAGGCCTGATCCACTCTAATACCCTCCTTGGACCCCAGGTGTCCCAAGAATGTCACAGAAGTAAGCTAGAACTCACACTTTGAGAACTTGGCATACAATTTCTCTTCTCTCAACCTCTAAAGTACAATCCTCAGGTGTCAGACATGGTCCTCCCCAGTCTTGGAGTAAAAAAAGATGTCATCGATAAAAACAATTACAAAAGAATCAAGGTATGGTCAAAACACCCCTTTCATCAACTCTATGAATGCTGCTGGGGCATTAGTCAATTCGAATGACATCACTAAAACCTCATAATGCCCATACCGAGTTCAAAAAGTTTTCTTATGGATATTTGATGCCTTAATCTTCAACTGATGATACCCAGACCTCAAATAAATTTTAGAGCAATGATGCTCCCTGTAACTGATCAAATAAGTCATCAACATGCGGAAGAAGATACTTATTCTTGACTCTTACCTTGTTCAACTATCTGTAATCAATACACATCCTCATAGTCCCATCTTTCTTCTTCACAAAAAATACAAGGGCACCCCAAGGTGATACACTAAGGCGAATAAAACCCTTACTCGATAAATCCTGCAACTGATTCTTCAACTCTTTCAACTCTGCTGGACCCATACGGTATGGAGGAATAAATATAGGCTTAGTGCCCGACTTCAAATCAATAGCAAAATCAATATCCCTATCGGGAGGAAAACCAGGAAGATCAGAAGGAAATACATCAAGAAACTCTTGAACCATGGGAACACAGTCCATGAGAGGTGGTTCAACACAAGTATCCCGAATAAAATCTAAGTAAGACAAACACCCTCTCTCCACCAATCTCTGAGCACGGATAAAAGAGATGACCTTGCTAGCATAAGAACCACTAACACTCTTCCACTTAACTCTCGGAACACCAGGCATTGCTCAATTCATAGTCTTACAATCTATACCCAAGATAATATCGAAGTGTACCATCCCAGAATGATTAAGTCTACCCAAGTGTCATACCCAGCCAAAGAAGCAAGACAAGATCGATACACTCGATCCACCACTAAGGGCTTCCCCACGGGTGTAGAAACACTAATAGGTACCGTTATTCTATCACATATTATATCAAATTCAGTAGCAAAATACATACACATAAGAGAATGTAGAAGTTGGATCAAACAACACAGATGCAGGTCGATGGCATACTGGGATGATACGTGTAATAAAAGCCTCAGAGGTCTCCGCCTCAGGTTTCCCGGGGAAAGCATAGCAGTGGGCTCCTCTTCCACCTCCAGCCTGGGTGGTACCTCTACTCCCACTTTGCTGAGCTGCAACACAATTACTAGAAACTCTATCACCTCTCCCTTACTGAACTTTGCCCGACCTCTACTCTATGGAGCTGGTGGTCTAGTCTGGAATGAAGAATTAGGTCGAGGCCCACAATGACCACTTTGA